GTTATCAGGCAAAGATATCATTTTCCCAGCTGAATTTCACTCACTGACTCCTAACAGAAAATGTTGCGTTGGTGCACATGCATTGTTATGCTGTTGCTGAACGTAGTATTCGGGCTCGCTCAGTCTGGCCTTGGGGAATGGTCGCAGTTTTGGCTGTGGATGCAAATCGGGTGAACATTGAGCCGGGTAGGTACAAGTGAGGGATACGCAACACTTCCGTTCGCAAGTGCTCTGCGTATCGCGAGGCGTTACAATCCAGGGTTGAGAGTAAGCAGCGATGATTCTTTGCTTAAAAGCTGACTCTACAAATCATTACTATTCAGTAGGGGAGACCGAAATTAAACCCCGGACTCCGGAAATTCCCTGAAAATTTGTGAGACAGATAAAATCGACCACGCGGATGATCTTTAACAGTAGGCTGTTTTCACGCCCCATACAAAATCGGAGCCATATTGTCAATCTTTCCAAATTTCCGAGTTTTCTAAAATTCTGAGTGAGAGGCTCAGTCGACAGAGAAAATAAGCTGAGAGAAATCGAGGCCGACGTTTGACGATTTGGACTAAAGGACTGCTTTGAACTGTGGAATACCTTGTGGTTTTGAGGATCAGTAAGACATTCGAAAAACGAGATGTGATCCGGTGGTCGATCTAACTCGTTTGTAAATTTCGAGGCAATTCTGAGTCCGGGGGTTAGTCGAGGTTCCCCCTAGTAAGGCCAGTTCCACTTTCGGTACGCCATCATCCGACTACCCGTTGATGCCGGGATAAAGTACCCATCTCACCTACGGGGGCTGTCTCAATATATAAGGAGCTGATTGGGTAATTTTGTGAACCTATTAGTAAAAAATATTTAAAGGTTTGATTATGTTCCTTCTTTCGTCGCTAAGACCTTTCAAAGTAGGAAAGCCAAACGGGGTTGGGAATTTAATTTGATACCATAATATTCAAACTTGGCGCTGGATCCAGGGGAAAGACAAACGACGCACATGACCACATATCGAAGACCGTCACTACCTCCACATCCTCAAGCCCCGCAAAACAACCGCATTTGCCGATGTGCATCACCGCCATTTTGCTTGCATACCTGGGATGCAGATATTAATAGGAAATGTGAGGGCGTAAGGTTCGAAAAAGTGCGCCTGCGCGTAACGTTATTTCGCTCATTTCCACCCTTTTTCACACTATAGTTTGGGATGGTAAGGCGCACTTCATAGGTTGTTTTTGATTGCGAGTATCAGTTCCGACATCCTATATGCTTCCGCCCTACTGTACCGACTTCTAACACTGACCCGCCGCCTGATTGTATCCATTAAAAGGTATGAAAATTGTGCGTTTTTGCGACGTGAAAATTGGATTTGGAAACGTTCTAATAGTTTCTTTAATTTTTCATTTAATTATAATCTATTTTAACTTTTCGCAGTACCGTTCTGATCTCCTTGACAGGACAACCATGTATATTTGTACTTATCTGTATATAACGTCAACAAACGCAAGCTGTATTGCAATGGAGCTGTATTGAAATCTCATGTATTTATGTTTGTTTGTTTTGTGCATAAATTCGGCGAGTTATAAGAAAAAATAAGGATCCAAGCAAACATTGAAAATTTATAGAAGAAAAATTGGCGAGTTGAGAAGAGAAAATAGGGATGTAAAACAAAGCATTGAGAACAAAATGTCGTATCTTCAACTATCTCGAAATATTACAAAACCTTGATCCAAATCATGAATCATCCGTGACACCGTTTTCCTGGGAAACCATCCAAAAAGTACAGGTTAAATAAAAAGCAAACGCGTAGTGGGTGAGAGAGAGAGAGAGAGAGAGAGAGCAGGGCAGGGGAGAAACGCCGTCGGCTGGCTGCCAGCTAAGTGGCCCAAAAGAAACACAAACATACAAACCATTGGTTCCAGGTGCGATTTTTGTTGTGCAAGGATTTTGAGACGTCTCGAACTAAAAAAAAGGTTGGTAGGTATAAAGTTTCAAAAATGCCTAGTGCCTTTATCACGATTATATTCCCGGCCAAAAGATTTCACCGAAACATAGTAAAGTATTGTTTAACAAATTGTTTAACCCTCCGAATCCAGACAAACTGAGAAACTTCTAGCAACCAAGAAAAAGCAGTATTTTCGGATTGTACTACATTGGCAATGCAATTTCAAAATTTTTAAATCTGTTTTCTTTGAAATTTAACCTTTCTTATAGATGTCGCTTCCTTTGGATCCTGTATATTGCATCGACTTTCTAATGCCTCCTGCCGGGTGCATTTAAATGGAATTCTTCTGGATGGAATTTACATATAGTCGTTAATTTATTCAAGGTGGTTAAAAGACATTTCTGTATCAATTCCAAGATATTCAGCCAGCGGGATTTCAACGATGGATTCGACGCCGAAGCCACATACCAAATAATCATTGCTCAGCTTGATCTCACCAAATTATTGTTCAGGTTGTTAAATTGTTTAATTAATTATTATACGTTTCCGGGAAGATATATCTTTGAACTGTCTCGATGAAGCGATTTTTGCAACCTATAAAAATTGCTTGGCTTTTTCGATTCCTACAGGGCGTCCCAGAAAAACGAACCATCTGGCATTTTACCGAAATCGGCCCCAACTTGGACGAGAGGTGTATCAGACCGTAAATAACAATAATCCTAACTTATAGCCCCGCAGCTATGGTAGTTCTCGAGTTATGGCAAAAATAAACTTTATTTCGCGTCTTTCAGAGGGTCCTGTCACAACAAATTTAACAAACACCAGGGTTGAAAAGTCGCGGGGCTGGCATTATTGGCCGCTCATCTATACGATAAACGAGGAATTGTGAGTGGCTTTTTTATGATTTAGAGGCATTGTTAGCAAGAATTCTTCGCGAATATCACTTGCTCTTTTTTGGAAAAAAGCAAATGATTAGATTGCCTTGATTGCCTGGAACTTGCTTATTTTTAGGCTAAGCCGAAACCTAATCTGGACTAAACCTAAACTTGAGCAAAGTTTACAAGTTCTAGAAACACAGTTTTAACCTCGATAAATATTTCATCGTTTTAGGTCTGGTTATTCCGAAACCCCGTTTACTGCCTTGATTACTTGAAGCCACTACCCGGCTGCATCAACCCCGCCGGGTCGTTTTTCTTTGGAACCGGTAAGTTTTTAGCCCCGAATTTCTGTTCAAGCGCAATTTTTAGACCAATACACACGTGCGTCACGACCGAGCCACAAAAAAAACGTGTACATTACTTGTAAATAAATGCCTTTGCAGTGTATGGCATCATTTCACTTCATCACAGGTTGGGGGTTTCGGACCATGCTCAACATAACAGGGTTACAGTTAGTGTTCAGGGCGAGAGAGAGCGAGTGCGAGGTAGAGAGATGAGAGAGTGAAAGACGGCATGTAGGCCAAGAGCAAGTGCCTGCGTATCATTTGTCTTGGGTGCAAATAGGCACCTTTCGAGCGGATGCGGGAGTGGCAATCACAGACAGGATTAGCCGATTTGGCATTGGCTCCACGCTGCTACTGTAATAGCGTAGTCGGGGCGTTTACCACGGGTTCGATGTTTGTGCCACAGTATCCCAGTATAGCAAAAACCTTAAAAGCTAGAAACTCTAAAATAGACCAAATGGGCTTCCGCGAGAAAAAGCTACAAGATCTCGCCCCTCTCGCCCTCTCTCACTCCCGCTTTCTCTTTCTCACGCTCACTCGCTATCTCTCTCCCTCTCTCTCTCTCACGCTCTCTCTCTCATTCCCACAGATAAACGTTGGCTGCGATCGAAAGCAGTGCCGGATCTCGAACAAATTAGCAGTTTGGCTACATGAACGCACGCGAAGTGCGAAATTGCAGGCTTGGTGGGGGTACTGTGATAACCTTACAATTTCTCCTCAACCCCATAATTTCCAGTTTTCCGCCGATACCCAAATGGCAAAATGGGAGTGAGTGCGATACACTCCGAGTGACGATGGAATCGGCAGTTGGTTGTTGCTAGTCTGAACCTTGAGCTGCATTGGCATTGGCTCGAGAAATACATCCACAACGTGCTTTCCCATTTTTGATTTTTCCTAATTGCTTTCGGCGCGTATTAATGTGATTGGCTCAAGGGATGGCCAAAGGATTTTTTACAATAATGAAGACTTCCAGACCGCGGAAAAACAGTAATGCTTTGCCCATCCCTTTAATATCTTGGCTAACAAGCCCCCAAAAATAATCTCGACATTTCAGGAATTATACCGAAAATGATTCATTTCTTCACTGAAATCAACAAGGCTGATCTGTTCGCGATTTTGGGTGTGCCCGCGGTTCGTATTGCTGATGATTATCACGACATAGATTTTAAATTAAAATCAATTAAATTAAAAATTTAGAGAGATAAATTGACTTCAGCTCGGCGTTCCGGCGATCATCACCAATTTCAAAGCGTTCCGCCGTCTTCTGCGACAGGAGCGCTTGACACGAACCGCCCGGCTATATCTGTCGGCTGACCAGCTCGTTCGCCTCGTCATGTCAATATTGTTCATGTACAACTTCCCAGCGGCATTTATTCGTTTTGATAAAGACGAGCATTGGGCCGACCCGAACGAAGGGTATTACAAGTAGGTATTTATTCTATGCTCATAATCGGCACCACTGACTCAAACCCATCCCTCACCAATGAAACCGCCTAAGGTCGAGGTGACGTTTCATATGCTATAGGACCCATCGTATTTTGTGCAGCATTCTTCGCTGATTCCGAATCTGTTTCCAATTTTTGCCAAATTATTCCGAGAAACGACAGTCGCGCGCGGCTGGAGTACGGTAATTCGGGTAGACACAAGGATGAAAAATCGCTATGGAGCTATTGACAAAGAATGATCTCTGGGCGACAGATATGGGCCTCAATATCTCAATCAATAAAATTTGATCTCTTGCTTGCGGAAGCTGCGCAGCATCTGCGAAGGAAAGATGGGAGAGAGACAGAGAGAGAGAGAGAGAGAGAGAGAGAGAGAGAGAGAGAGAGAGAGATACATGGGGTCCCAAAAAATCGGCCCGATTTAGCGGTTCGGAGAAAGGTCGGTTCGGGATGATTTTTACACCATTCGAAAGCCCTTGAAAGGGCGAGAAAGCGTGGTCTTTCAGCGTTTCAGCTTGGTTACTCAAAAACTCTTCGATAAACACAGGATGGAGCCAACCACCTGACCTACCGCCCACACGAAGAGCCGTTTTTAGCTAAATTTCCGGAATGTTTATGCCACGATCAATGCCTTGGTGGGTATATCAAGCTTAAAGTTGTCTGTTGAATCATCGAAAATGAAGGTCTTCCTCTTTATGATCGTGCTTTTAGCTGTGGCGATTCACACAATGACTATTCAGCCTCCAGTGCCCGAGTGTCGCTGGAAGCTGTGCCAAAACTCTCGCATTCCGCTTGAAAGGACTAGGTCTTATTGACACTCGGGGATTCCAGTTATTTCCATTTTTTAGAGCTTTGTTTCCGGAGCGCCGTCAAGTGGGAGCATCCATGCAAGACGAAGATAGCATTGACATGCTTTAGCCAAAATCAAAGCCTTTTCGATCCAATAAATCTTGGAGCTCTGCAATTTGCTCATATGAAATATTTCACTCAGCATATCGCATTTTAATCATTATTATAGTTTTCCTTTTAAGTTTTAATATTGAATAAGTTATATTTTCAATTACGTCGATTTTATAGGAATTCAACACCAAAACCACAAAGATGATATGGTGGCCAAAATAAGCCCAGCCAGACGCCCCGGCTACGATTTGTCGGATTTGCCGGTTGAAGTCGGTTAAATAGTTATTTAATGCCCAACTCCATTGGTTGGACACATCAAAATGCGCATCGCAGATTTTGTCCTTTTCTCGCTAATCGTTGCAAGGTTGGGGTCTGGAGAAGTCGGGCCACCAACCTCGCCAGGTTCAGAGCCAGTAGAAGGGCCGGCGTCGGTAGGTCGGTCTGCAAGAAACATGGGCAATACATAATAAAAACAATTAAAAACCTATGCAAAAGCGGGCAGTCATAGGAGATTCACGATAAATTTTGATAAGCATCCCTTACAAGCCTATACAAGATAAAATTGCTGTAACCTTCAGTAAAATGAATTCCTCTTTTCTACTATGAAAAAACACCCACGCTTTTTTGATCTTGGTTTATGATTGTTTGGTGGCTGGAGACAATTTTTGGGCGTGTTTACTTTTGCAGCATAGCTATGATATTTAAGGCCACGTTTGCTCTGATCTATCATGATTTATGACACTGCATGTTCTTTCCTACTTCCATCTTTTTCTGCCTACTCGCGATGGCTTTTTCAAACGAAGGAACCACGACAAGACGTAAATATGGAATTCAGGTATTGGAACGTAGTAAACATTTCGAGCTAACAAAATTCTCAAAAAATTCCACTTTCCATCCAAAGTACCAGAAAAATTTTTAGGAGCTGAACCGCCGTTGCTATCGGGGACTGACGGCTAGCTGCGAGATTTTGAAGAAAATCCGCGAAGATGAAGCTCAGAGGTTGTTAGTACGTTACTGGGTTATCTTTTGAGATATCTCTGTGTTTCAGATATCTTACACCGACTCCGAAAATGCCGCAAGACTAACACGGGTTTTGCCATGTGTTAAATAAGGCAATAAATCAATTTCTTTCTCATAAGATACAGAAAACAAAAAAATTGTCGAAAAATTTAGTTTTACCTGAATCCAGAGCTACAATAAAGCAACTGAAACGCGGTCCCGAAAGCTACGTAGCACCCCTATTGTCGCATCAAAATCATGATCATCAAAAGTTGCCCCCATATACAGGCTCCGCCTCACCGCCCACGCCGCCAATTTTGATCCGCTACAGCACACAGAGACGCTGGGTGGCCTTAAAATGTTTAGGTTTTTAGAGTTTCATCGTTATTCTATAAACACCCTCGATAGTTTATATATTTAAAAGGCCGTCCGCGAGTCACTCGAACAGTCCCCATTATAGCTTGGCACAGTTTTTTTGGACCCCTATTTTTTGATGCCATCTGATCGAGCGTGGTCGAATTAGAGGAATCGCACTAATTTGGGATTTTTAAATTAGCATTTTCCTGGTTAAACAAGGCGTTAAAGTTGCCAACGTCCAAAATTTATCTCGACGACTACTTGACAGAATTGGCTGAAACTTTGTGACTAGGCCTAATTTGGGATGGGGATCATTTTTCTAATACATCGCGAAGCACGAAAATTAGCAGAACCTAGTTAAATTGCATACTTAAAATAGTTTTTGCCCAATTTCTGGAAATTAACGGCAGGTCGGCCGCAAGCTGGAATTAGGCTAGAAAGATGCGCAAAATGTTTCTGCATCGATTGATGTATCATTTAGGTGGCGGCCAAATCGCCGTTTTCTCACAGCGAGCTTTTTGTAGCTGAAAAATGGCCTGAAAATCTGACTAAAATGGAAAGTTTTGTGGTATTTACATATCGGAGTAGTCAAAACGCATCAAGAAATCATGTCAAGCCGATTGCAAAAAAGAGCAAAAATAAATGCGGCTTCTGAGAGGGAGCTGGGATTGAACTGGCGGCGGCTCTGGATTGGCACGCCGACGCTCACGGGGCTCCCAGGCGGAGGGTCCTGGTTCGATTCCCGCCCAAAACAAGTACCCCTTCAAAAGTCGAATTTCTTTTTGCTAATTTTTGCGTATAGCTTGGTGTGATCGTTAAATGTGATCCCGTGGGTCAAAACATAGAAAATCGCAAAATTCTCCATTTTAGTCAGATTTTCAGATCATTTTCCTTCTAAAAAAGGCTCGCTGTCAGAAAACGGCGACCTGGCCGCTACCCTAAATGATTCATCACTCGATGCAGAAACATTTTGCGCATCTTTCTAGCCTAATTCCAGCTTGCGGCCGACTCGCCGTTAATTTGAAATTCGGCAAAAACTATTTTGGATATGCAATTTAACTAGGTTCTACTAATTTTTCGTGCTTCTCGATGTATTAGAAAAATAATCCCCATCCCAAATTAGGCCTAGTCACAAAGTTTCAGCCAATTCTGTCAAGTAGTCGTCGAGATAAATTTTCGACGTTGGCAACTTTAACGCCCTGTTTAACCCGGAAAATGTTATTTTAAAAATCACAAATTATTGCGAATCCTCTAATTCGACCACGCTCGATCAGATGGCATCAAAAAATAGGGGTCCAAAAAAACTGTGCCAAGCCTTGTCCGGGTGACCCGCGGACGCCCTTTTAAAGCGGCGGCTTTCAGCTGGGCCGATAAAAATGCGGGTTCCCTTAGGTTTCCTCGCCTTGTCGATGGCCGCTGCGACTTTTGAGGATTTTGGCCGACCGGGTCAACAATATCCTGACCGATTCCCAGGGGTGTATTTATAATGCTTTCTGATTAGCTTTTAATCAACAGCCCGACGCGGCATTCAGAATACCGATCGACGACTGGCGCACACGGTGAGAACTGGGAATTAAAATGTTCTCTGCAGGCATGTTTTGTAAACAGCCGTTTTCGGAATTCTGTGTTACAATTGATTGTTGTCGATATCGGCATTGTCGCTGTCGACGCTTTGAATGTTACGAATTTTTTCATTATCTAGATCTTTCAAAAGTGTAAGCGGTTGCGATAGTAAAATTATAGGCCGGCACCAAGAGCTGCTGTTACGGACTGAGCAGTTGTTGGGAATGGCTGACGCGGTCGCAGCTTCGAGGGGCTTTGCAGGGTTGCTTTATACACATTAGAGAGAAATAGTGTGTTCTTTATGAAAGGCTGTACCGCGGCAACAAGGATGAACCCCACTGACGGGAGCTCAGCGGTTCCTTGTGAAAACACGATAAATTCTGCAACTGCACACTGCAAAATTCTGGCAATTATGCTGGCGTTTATAAAATAAGAGGCCCTGGAGTTAGTGGCTTTTACATAGATGTCTCCTTTAGATTTAATGGATTTGGATATAAACTTTTTATTTGCAAGCAACGGCAGAAGAATTCAGCATTTGAATTTCCTTTATCAACTTACGAACAGCGGTTCATCGCCTTGGCAGATACCATAGCAACGTCGACAAAGTAGCAGGCATTTTTTGGCCCTTTGCACTGGGGTTTGGAGTCATTAGGCCGGTCTGTTTTGGTTATGACCGAGTGACCTTCCCTTTCACTCCCCCCATCGGTTCGGTCACAAGTTAGAAACCATGGTCCCTCACCCGGTGTCCGGCGGTATAAATGAGAGGGCTGTAACCGCTCCAAATCAGCCTGCATTCAACCCCACTTTCTCATTTTTTTCTGGGTTGTCAAGCAATTTTGAGTGGATACCTCTGGGATTGATAACTACATCCCCTGAATCTGATTTATAGAGATTCTAGAAATCTCGGTTCAAAAATC